GCCCTGCAGCCTCAACAATACCACCCCGGTAACCATTACAGTGTGTGTGTGTGTGTGTGTGTGTGTGTGTGCGCGTGTGCGTGCGTGTGCGTTAGGGATGCAACGGTACAGTGAGCCCACAGTTTTGTATGTATTATGGTCTGTGGGCCTTCATATAGCGTGTGTTTTTTCTTCTTTCGTCTTGCCAGTGCTTGCAATTGTCACGTTGGAGCTGAGGGATTATTTGTTTTTAGTTTCCCATCTCTTCTCCATCTCAGAGGGCTGCTGAGCTCCAGGGAAATTCTTATTGGCTCCAGAGATATTCTGTGGATCTGAATGTGCAGTGTATGTGTAGTCTGCAGTGTGATGAGCAAGATTTGGTAATTATAGGAAAATAACAGGCATATTGTAAAACTGTGGTGTCTTGAACTGTAGGGGGCGCACTGAACGGTTCGACAATATACTGTGTACCATTATATCCCTAGTGTGTGTTTGTGTGCATATTAGTTTGTCACAAAAAAGTGGAGATGCTTCTCGGTGAATGCGAGTTTCTAGGCGAATGGGACCTACTACTACAAATTTTTTATTATTATTATTATAGAGCACTTTTTATGCAGGTAGCAGCTCAAAGTGCTTTACAGACAATATCTCTACATAACTCTGTTTTATTGATTTCTATGTCAGAGGTGCTTCTCTCCACTTTTATGGTTGTTGTTTTTGGCCTCTGTGTAGCACTGGTCATTGAGAAATGCTTTGATTTTCTTCCAGCAACCTATTCGTCGGAGAAGAGGAGAAAGTTCATTTGATATCAACAACATTGTCATCCCCATGTCTGTAGCAGCCACCACCAGAGTGGAGAAACTGCAGTACAAAGAGATCCTCACACCAAGGTTAGACCCGTGCACAACACGTACCTGTGGTCCCACAACAACACATCACAGATTCCCACAGATGCTGTAAATGTGTCTTCTGCAAATGAAACGTTCTGCGTCTGATGATGGTTCTTTTGTTTTTGTTTTAAGTTGGAGAGAGGTTGACGTTACTGCGAAAAGTATCTCTGAAGAAGACGACTCAGTGGAGGTGTGGATTTGCTGTTTTTTCTTTTCTTTAAAGTTGCTATTCGGGCACTTAGTGTTCAAAAACCAAAGAGTGTGAAGTTTTTACAGCTTTTGTGCCTCAGCAGTCTTTGAACATGCCTCTCTTTTTCTGTCTTCCTCTGCCCCCCTTTTCTCTCACAGATTGAGGATCTCTCTGATGCGGTGTTCTCCCAGCTGCATTTCTTGTATGAAGAGCAGGAGCGTTCCCGGTGGAGCTGGACAGCCAGTGCCATTGCCAAGAGGAGGGGTAGTCGGTGGGTGTCTTTTACTCATGCATAGGCTCTTTCCCAATTTGCGGCCAAGGAATTGCATCACAGTCCAACTTTAGGAATACCTCAGGGCTCTATGTTAGGTCCACTTAATTTTGGCAGCATATAAATTTACATTTATATGTATTATCATGCTGGAAGCTCCTGCTACAGCGTAAAGCAAGAGCTTCATTTTGTCATTTCTCATTACTTACAGTTACTATGCTAGTTAAAGATTAATCTTGCTGTCTTTAGGTTGGGGTGGTGTTTATCTAAGGGTGTGAAATCTCTTAATTTCCCCAGTGAAGCACTGTTAAGAACATTTTCGCACATTTATTGTTGACTGAAAATCTGTTGAAAGCAGGCTTTTGAGTATAACTCAAGCTTGTGATTTCCATCTATAATTAAAGCAGCAACAAGCTAATCTATCTCTCACACCTTCCCAGGTCTTACAAATCTGTGGATGGGCGGACCACCCCGCTGCTGGGCGGCACAAACCCTTCTACACCACAGCCCTCTTCCCCTGACACAGCACACTTCCATCTGCTGCAGGATTACAGCTCAGCCACCTCTCCCTCCAGCCCTGCAAGCCCAGAGCTGCTGATGTTCTCTGGCCTGCATAACCCCGGCCAAAGAGACTCGCAACGTCTACTGTCCAACGAGGACACGCGTTGCTCCACCCCTGACACCATCTATGAGGAGATGGTAAGCTCCCACAGTTAATGATGTAACAGCTCAACACTGTTATCAGACCACAAGACTGTTTGACCCGTGGCTCCAGCGCAGAGCTTAAGACATAAATCTCAGAAACCAAATTGTTGGCTGATTGGCTACATCTGAAGTAATTTGATAATTTGCTGAACTGTCGCTTTAAATAAGTGCTCAACTCATAATCTGTATTTATTTAAGCTTTATTTATGTATTTATGTAAGCTCAGTTGCTCATTCTGCCTCCTTTATGTTTCTCCGTACGGGTTTCCCAGCCAGTACAGCCATGGGAGCGCCGGACTTTCCCTCTGGACGTTGATCCAGAGCTGGAGCACAAGGACCAGAGCAGCCCTGCCAGCGAGCGGTCCTGTCGAACCATGCGCAGAATCTCCGGCTGCAAGGCCGGCTCTTCCAAATCAGAGTCGGACACTGGGCCTCCATCACCCCTCCCTGAAGACAACAGCAAACAGAAAGCCAACCCACACAAACACACTCACCGGTGAAGCTTGGACAGGAAAACCTTCAGACTCAGACCCCCACCTCCACCAGCTTTCATAAACAATGACACCAACAAAAAATATATACATATATGGGGAAAAAATAGAATAAATTCCTGTTGTTTGATATTCAAACATCAGTTAATTCTTTCACAGTTTTTAGTGAATTGTATGGAAATGTAGAGACCTGTTTTAATTATTTTCTCTGCTTTTCTTTTGGGTCACTGGAAAATAAACTGTCTGTGGGGGGAAAAAAGGAAGGTGAAAGTGATTTAAGCATAGCAAGAAGCAAGAAGCAGTGTCCGAAGTGCTGATGTGCACTTGCCCAGCTTTCTAAAAGACTGAAGAGATTGTATTGGTTGTATCAAACCAATGGGTTGACCACAAGGTCCCTATTATATTATCTTAGGTACAGCCCCCACTGAATGAAAAAAGAAAAACACGCACACAAATATTTGACTAAGTGTCATGCCTTTCCTCTTTGTTTATCCTTTATTGTTGTAGCACTTCATTATGTTTTCTCTCCCTGACCCCCATTCATTACCCACTGCATTATATGGAATTATATCAGCTCAGCATCTTTTATAAGGGGCCAGCTTTAATTGAAGTCCATTGTTAATCAGCTCCCTTTTGTTTTTTTTGTTTTGTTGTTTTTAGTACACTTGGATGCTTGTAAAGGTTTTAGTAGCTACTCTAGTCTGTTGGAGCCCCATTTCTGTCAGTGTAACTGGTATAATGCAACATGCTTTGTATGCATCTAATAGTTGAAGTGCTGGTCTGGTCTGGTCTCAGCTGCACTCTGAGTAATTCTGTTGATCAGGTCATACAAAAAACTGATCCCAGATCAGCACTCGAGCCATTTGATCCATATTAACCCTGGTGTAAGGATCATGTAAGCAGGACTTCCCTCTGCTGCACTGCCATCTTTTTACACGCAAAAGTGAAGTTCAAGCACTTAACTTGAGTTGCTTTCTTTTAATCCTAGTGCCTGTCAGTGTGTGGGGAATAATGCCCATACACAATGCCACAGGCTGCTTAATGCCAGATTAAAATGTCATCTCTAACTTTGCACTCTGATGCTTAGCACTGTTCTCTCAGTCATTCCACAAAATTGGCTTGCATTGTATATTTGAATTAGGTTCTTGTGGCACTTTGGAATCAGATCCCATTTTTGTTTGAGAAATGATCCTAAAATCATGGTGAAATAACTCCACTGCAAATTAATCTGATTTTGAAGACTCACCCACTCCCCTTTAATTTTTTTGTCATCATGGAGTTGCACTATTTTCTGTTTCTCTCTGTAGAGATAACTAGCCACATCAAGCTGGATGAACGCATAACCGAAATCTGCTGGCTTGACTGAGGTTGATTTGTTATTTTGCTTTCTTGCCTGACCTGTGCTTGTTAGTCAGTCTCTCTTAATTCCAGTAACTGGGCACCTCTGTTTTTTTTGGCTACACTATTTCCTTTGTTTCTTTATCCAAACGCCACCTTAAGATAGGGTGAGCTGGTGATTTACAGAGACTGTCAGCTACCTTCCTGTATTCTAGTAGTTTTCAGCTACTTTCCCCACTGAGTACCCAAACATGATTGACGATGGTCTGTCTCTGTGCTTGGGGTTCTAAACACCCACCAAGCAGACTCAATGTACAATAGGAGTTTGGTTAGCTTTCGAAAGCCAATATTGTATTGTGTGGGTTATTTTCATACTATGAATTTCCAATGTGGTGAATGGGGGTTGGGGTGAGTCTGGTATATCCTTTAGCATGTAATAGTTTGTACAAAAAAAGAGTATATTTTGTAAATACATTGTTTGATTCTTTACTGTGTTTGATGTTGAGGCTGTAGCTGTCCTGATTGTATAGGGAGAAGACACATAAAAATATTTAACACTTTCTTTACGCAGAGGCAAAAAAAAAAGGAAAAAGATGTATGGATTAATTGGCCAATCTGACACAGGCAGCATTTGTGCTTCTCAAAATTAAAAGTGAATTATATTGTACTCCTTAATGTCTGTCCTGCTTTTTACTCCCTGATAGTCTTTCATATGTCTCACTTGTATCTGAATGTTCCGAATTTCTGCATAATGAAATCATTTTATAGAATTTTACCAAGTCTATAATATTTACAGTGGTGGTGATAAGAACCAGTTATTTGAAGTGTTTAATGCTTTAAAAGCTGCCTTCCTGAAAACCATTACATGAATCGGCAAGTAGTGTTTTTGATGTCTAAGACACTGTTTAACAATAGTTTTGAGAAGATTTTGGCCTGAAATGTATTTTTTAAAACACATTCATGGTGGAAAAATACATGCAGGCCACTGTACGGCAACACAGTCCCCAAAGAGCGTTTTCAGATTTACTATCTTCCACATCAACCCACTCTGAATGACCTGGTTTACATCTCTCAGATTGAATTACGTAAAAATTTTGAAAAAAAACTTTAGCACTATGAAGACACAAGACACAGCACAGCTGTTTAATACCGACTTTATTTCCAAATCCACGTTTACAGCAACGAGTATGAGTGTAAACCAACTGATAAAACGCACAACTAGAATGAGGACAATCACAACTGTCAAGCTAGAATGTACTGTAGAACTGCAGTGAGAGAACGGTAGTTAATGGTTTTTTGAAACAGAAAACTGGAGGAGGCGCCTCTTTCCTATTGAGAGTTTGTAGGATGCATTTGTTACGCAAACACCTTAAATGAGAACATTTTTCTTTTATTTATTGTTTCCACCCCCCAACAACTTTGGTCCTCTGTGCCTCACCCACGCGTTTCCATTCTCACATTTCATAAGCAGCATGCTGTGCAGGCCACAGTGGTTTGGGGTCAGGAACTCTGTTTATAAAGCATTTAGCAGTAAAGGCTCATCCGGGATTAGATTCCTATGAACATTCCACTGTTTATACTTACATGGGTCAGAAAATTAAGCCATAGATCATTAAGCTTCTGATGTGAGATCTGTTCCTGTCAATGAAGTCATATTAAATAAGAGGATCAGCACTTCTGAGGATCTATGTGAATACAGGCCCAGCAATAAAGCATTTCAAGAAAAGGGTTGTTCTCTCTGGGGCCATCATCAATTTTTATCATAATTTTTAATTGTCCCTCATATGGTGATTACTGCCTAGTTTAATTATGGCCAGCAAGCTCAATATGATCTTCAGGAATCTAATCCCACATCAGCACTTATTTATGGACAGCCCAAGTTTCCAAGTCTTCAGAGGCTGCTGTACAGTCTTGGCCTGTTACCAGTCTCTGCGAAATGTTTTTCAATTTTAGTAAAAACTTTTTTCTTACTCCACCTTATTTTTCTGGTGTACTTTCTCAAATTTATGGAATGTAAGATATTTTTGCAAAGTTAAAAGATTGGGAAATTCGAGGAAAAGAGGCAGCTCCAGGTGTGTTCTATGTCCATTCACGGCATTATTTTTTCATTTTTTTTAAATATCAAAAGGAAAAAGCTGAGGTGCATTGAAGATATAAAAAAGGCATAATAAATATCAGGTAAGACTGACAAACGAACAAAAAAGAAAACGCATTCTTTTCTTACATGTCTATTACATCTCACATCCACAGAATACGATTAGTTAAGAAGTGCGCAGCTTGGATTTTTGCATGAAGCGTGTAGTTTTCTTTTCAGTTTTGAATCTTTTTAAATAGGGTCCCTATATAAGTGAAGAGGAGTCATACGCTCTGTAGAGTTAAACACAGCAGGAGTGTGGACAGGTGAGTGGGGGGAGAACAGGGCAGATGAGTTGATATTAAAATCTAGCAAAGCTGGCTGCTTGTCAGGAAACTGGAGTGCAGTGGATTTGGAGAAGGCATCTTTAATGAAGACTGTTTGGCATTGCATTGCATGTTATGTGTTAGAATGAACGAGTTTATTATAGCAGCTTTATCCAAAAAAGGGCATTCATGTTTTTTTCTGCTGCATCTTCCTTTCCCAAATGAAAGCCTCATCCAAACGTCGTTATTTACATGTCTGAAATGTTAGTCAATGAAGCAAAGGGAGGCACTTTTTTTTAGAAACTAACAATTGCCACTCACACCGCAGCCTGTTGAGTGCGTATTTTAAATAAATGCATTATTTCCTTTATCACTGTCAACTAGCTAGAGAGGCGTGTATCCCTTATCTAGTGGAGTGACTATAAATGGACTTTCCAATCTGACTAATCTGGTTCTGGTCACCTGCACTTGTCCATTCACACATTCTTTGGAACAGTACATCTTCCGCAGGGCGCCAGGCAGGCAGAACAGTGAATTAGAAGAGAAGCTAAGTTTCAGGAGGCAGGGAGTTGAACAGCACCATGAGTGTTTTAGAGGCATATGGTCTACCTCAGTGGTCATCAACTCTCCTCCTGGAGATCTCCTTTCCTCCAACCTGCATCTAACGTCCTCTTCTTCACATTGTATTAATACATTTGATGTAGCTAATAAAGTTGGGACAGATTGTGGTTAAAACTAGATGCCAAAGAACAGTGGATCTCCAGGACCAGGGTTGGTCACTGTTGGTCTACCATAGTTAAAAACTGAGCCACATCCATGCCTGGGCACAGAATTTACTCACGCAGTGGACCGTGCTGATTAGGGCTTTATTAAGTTAGAATGAGTCTGGAATGAGTGAGTGTAGCATGTTAAACATCCATCATGAACAGATATTTGAATGTGATTGGTCGAAATCCAGGACAACATAACAGGTCTTGCAATGTCACGTCCAATAGCAAAAAAGTTCAGACCTGCAAGTATGAAATACAGCGAGTTCAACTGCTTGGCACGTCTGCTAGTTTGGGAATCTGTTCACTACTCTTGCTATTGGAATTTTTTTTTGTAATGAATCCAAATAGAGTTAATGCCTTTAATTGTTGATATGCTAATTCCAATGCATTGTTTGTCAAAGCGCCTGGTGTATAAAACATCAAGATACATCACAGCATGGCAACATGCAAGAATTGTTATGATCCCATCATATTACTATATTAGAGTTTCTTAAAAGAACAGCTCAACACGCTAATGTTGCTAACAGTAATCGATTTCATTACAGATGCTTTTGAAAATGTTCACGATGCTAACTGTTCGCTTTCATTCACTGTTAGCAGCACCAGCATTATTGACTGAAACATTCCATTAAAATCAGCGCAAAGTGCAGTTTGACAACTCAGAGCCTCCTTTTATCATTCTTACAGGTAGGTTTGGCTTTGTTCTTCCCCAGATTTCTTTGGGGAGTACATTTTACGTTCTTTACTATGTATTAGCATACAGTCACAAAACATCAGTTCCTGTCTGGTTGAGGTCAAATGAAAGGAAAATAATCGTTAGAAAAAAGAAGAAGAAAAAAAAAAAACACTCTGACAATAAGGCAACAAAGCAGAGACAGCGATGGAAAGGTAGGCCTAACATAAAAAGTACCTAACACTGTAGCAATATAGATGGGCTACTCAAGCTGTAAATGATCATATGGATCAATACAGCACCAAATTCAGCTCAATTAATCAAACCAAGCCAATAATTTCATAATTCATTATTTAATTTTCTGTTCCGAGCTGTCGAGAGCCAAAATTCATATCTTGTCTAGTCACCGCAACAAATCTTAGTTAGGAAATCCAGCAAGCGCATTTTTTTTTTAAAGACTGAGGGAAATACTTTTTCATTTTCTTTCTTTTTTTTTTGTTTCTTTTCAAGCCATATTACTCCCTTTAATCCCATTGAGCGTTAGGGTTGCGGATGTAGGGGTCAATCACAGGCCTTGCTTGGCGAGGGAGGCGGACACCTGATCAGCTAGCGTGGAGAGCTGCGGGGATTCCGTCATGTTGATGCTGCCGGAGGAAGACACTTTGCTGAGTTGGGGAGAGCCGTCCGCTGACATGCCTGGTGACTGGACCACGATATCGGCACCATGGTCAGTGCGAGCTTTCGCCTGCTCGCGGAACGCCAGTTTGTGGCTCTCAATCTGATAAATAAAAAATATTGAATAAACAATTTAAAGTGATGGACAGAAAAGGACATGTTTGGTGTCTATAGTTTGCTTTTTTGGTTTTGCTCTGGAGCTTTGAGGCTAATGTAGCTAACAAGTATTGAAAGCTTTATTAGCATTAGCAACTTGCATTGTGTAAACCGTTTGACAGAATACATTCTGATTACAGATTAAGACTGAGGTGTTTATATCACTCTCACTCTACTCAATGATCTTGTGGAAAATCTCCATTTACATGGTTATTATTCCTCTATTTAACAGATTTTTTACAGGATTACCCACCTCTGAGTTTTCTGAGTGGCCTCAACTGGACTAGTCTAGGTGTATACATGGACATACTGTTCTGACTGAGCTAATGCCAGATTATTAACAGCCTGCATGTAACCGTGGCTACAGTCACCTCAATCTGGGTTGAGTTGTTAAATAATCTCAAATCAATACACTGTATGATTTACTGATATTGATCAAAAAGGACAAAAGGATATTACTTTTTTATAGACATCAGAACATCACAGTGACAAAAAGGAGTGATGATATAGATATTAAATTGGCAAAGTGCTAATTAGTGAGGTGTTAGCATCTTGCAGAGTTTTAGGGGATTAGCATATTTAATCCGGTGCTGTAGGTTGATTAGTTCAGAGGTTTCTAGTTCAGTTCTCAATTCATTTGAGTGTGGTGCTCAGGAATGTTACCTGGCTCAGGTGTTTTAAAGGCTGGAATCAGAGAATGGAGAGGGAGTCTCTGGTTCAGCTGTGATAATCTAGCTCAAATTTAACCCTCAACCAACACTTATTTGTATACAACGTACGAAATCAAGAATCAGGGAAAAAACCCATAAAACATATTTAACAGAAAATTACACAGAACCCTCAACAACAACGTGAAATCAAATTTTTCAGTATCGTGTCCATCCTCTGTTTTGTTATAGCGTCCGTTCTTATTTGGGTGACTTGCTCTCAGTTTTTCAAATAAAGCTGCAGGGATAATTTACACACTTCTAAAGTTCAGTCTCAGAAGCCGGTTGTATTTTCTGCTTCTCATGTTCCACGTAACACATATTTACAAACACAAAACGCAGACTGTCGTCAGTCAGTCCATCAAGCCCTACTGCACATCTCAGATGTCCAGTTGTTGTGTCAGTGTTCTAGTTCTAGATTTGTCTTCTCACAGTGGAAAGATGGACAGGATTATTTTTCTTCTCTCTCAATGATGAAAGCTTTAAGTGCTCTTTATCCGTCAGGGATAGTTTTCGTGGTCTACCTTGTCTTGCATGGTTGTTAGGAGTCCCGCTTTCTGTGTCTTTTAATCATTTTTGTACTCCAGTTTTGGAAACTCCTGTTTTTCCACTTTGCTCCTTTGACCTTCCTCTCTCTTACGTAGGTGGATTATCTTATATCTGATCTCGTTTCAGCCGTTTTAGGTGCACTTGAGAAGCTGAGGTATGTTTGGGTAGCTGTTTGTGTGAATGTCAATGTCTGTTTGAAGGGAAACATAATGTCAGTGAGCTCTTTGACAGCTTTTCCTCGAAGGTCACAGTTGAAAGTGGTTGGTTTTAAGATTGGAAGGATGGAAGAGTTAAAATGGAAGTAGGTGAACAAAAGTAAAGAAAAAAAATTTAAATACTAGATAGATTTAATATTATACTTAGAGTTGAAGCTTTTGTGTAATTATCTGTTAAATATTTTTCTGACAATGAAAAATGATTAACTAGTACTTAAAGGTCATTTTGACCTGACAGTAAATAGTAAAAAGGCAGATTTCTGCACAGTGCCGTTTACACTAAATAAGGTAATCTGAAAAAAAAACATTTGGATGGAGATTTCAACACAGCAGGTGTATTATAAAAACAGCATAGAGAGAATGTATTTCTATGATAATGACACATGAATGCCACAGGCTGTTGTGCACTTACTGGAATTGTTCACCTTAACCAGACTGACTTCCCCACATCGGGGGAGGTCAAAGGGCACGTCCCCGTTTGGGTGGACGGAGGCCCCAGCAGCTTCCGGCTCTGCTTTTTTCCCCTTCTCCCTCTACAGGTGGACACCGTTACGGGGTTACATTACAACAGAACAAAAAAATGACAGGGCTCAACAGAACAAACTGAGGAGGTCATCAAGTAACTGACAACATTAAAAGATGGAGTGTTAAAGCGGGAAAAATGGAACACAAAGCAGAAAAAAATTAAAACAAGAAAAAATAAATAAAGAACCCATTGCAGACTGTGGCCTTCCAATGAGCAGACCGAGAAGAAGCAATGAAGAAACAGGGTTGAGAAAGTGTGCATCTGATAGAGAGAAGAGGAAGGAGAGCAAGACACCAGGCAGCTATTACTTCTATAACCCACCGACTGCAGCGCTTCAGGCTCTATATGTGATCTATATCTCACTGTGTCTTCCAGAACAGCGACTGTCTAAGAGGTTTTTAAGATGCCCAACAACATGTTGTGTCCAGCAGAGGCCGCCACTTGTGTTAGTGAGTAACTTTATTTTAAAAGCCAGACGTCTTGCAGCCTTTTCAGATTTCCAAACAGATTTGCTCTTCTGGATTCAGCTAAATCCTCAAAACTTGACTCGTCTAACTGTGTTTAGTGCAGTGCAATGTGTGAAGCAATGTAAGAAAATCAATTTTTTATAGTTTTTGGTATCATTTTTTAAAATGTTTTGTCTGTTTCTACTAATAAATCCTCAGAAGAAAAAATATTTTGATGCAAATCATTTATCTTGAAAATGTCGTCCACCCCTGCAACTCATCCACAACTCATTTCTGCTGTGACATTGGTTGTACCATGTACTCTATCACTCTCTACATGGAGTAGCTTCACCAAAAGATTCTCGCTCCGTCCAGGTATATGGATAAAAAAGGCAACTTGGCAGGAGGGGTGAAAGCAACTGGGCTAAAGGAAGGCAGAGAGGACTGTAAGCAAGAGGAAACATGCCAGTCATAGTATATATAAAGATCAGGAGTTAAATTAGCAGTAAATTTAATGCCACTGTAATAGTATTTATGTTAATTATAGTGTGAATCTTATTCAGTATTGTCTGTAGTGCGATTCTTGTTTCGTTTTCTTGATCGATTTAAATCAGTTCACTGAAAAATCAAACTTACACAAATTTTCCCTCACCCCAAATGTAATACGTCTGGTGTGCGTTTGCTGTCTGTTTGGTGTCCAAAATTTGCTTCTTTAATTCTGGACAGGAGCTACGATGTTAATGTAGCTAAATACTGGGATTCTATTATATTAGCATTGTAGCCCCAGTGCCAAACTAAAGACACAAACTTCAGATACAAAACATCTTAGCAGACAAACATTTGGGTTATTGGAAATTGCGTAGATTAGATTTTCCTGTGAACTTTAAGTATCCAAACAGAAGAGCTTACCTTCTTTTGACCGCCTCCAGGCACATGGCCGATGTTCTCCAGAGATCCAACTTTTGACTGAGCTTTAAACTCCAGCTTCTCTGATTTGATCTCAATATTCCCTCCACCTGGAGTCAAAGGTAAAGATGAGCGGGCACTAAACTCTCACAGGAATCTGTGATCATTTTGCCTTGTGTAAGAGCAAATCTGAGCTAACCTGTCTTTTGTGAGTGAATACTGTTTAAAATTCTGTTGGAAAAATTGGTTAGTATTTGCATAATTTTTAGCCCAACTTTTTAGCTCAACATTACGCACTGAATTAGTGTCACTGATATTTTTAGAGGCTCTCTGTATAACTCACTAAAATCTCCACCCGAGTAGTTGGTGCACCTACATGTTTGTCATAGTAAAATGGATCAGAAGGTGAAACTGGAGCTTCTGTTTGCTACCTTATTTTCTATATCCATCTAAAAGAAGCTCCAAAGTGTATTTATTGTGGGATGTGATCGTTCCTGAGCGTGCACTTTCAGAATGGAATTCACATCGCTGGAGGTAATAAAGCTTATTATTGATTTGTTTCATCAGAAAAAAACAACTGTGACTGAAGTGCACATTACTTCTAATGTTTTTGACAATCAAAAGAAAGATAATCAAAACCGTAGGATCACATTCTTTATGTATCGAAATAAATGCAACAACAGCGTTGAGAAATCACATTAAGACGAGAGTCGAATAAAAGGCAGAAATAGCCACTTTTTAGTGTCAAATTCTTTACCTGGTTTATGGCGGATGTTGTCCTTTGATCCGCACTTTGACTGCACGTTACTCAGATCAATCTTTTTGTGCACAATTTGAACCTAAACACAATGAGAAGAGGGAGTAAAAGAGAGAGAGTCAGCTGGTCCCAAAGTATGTTAGTATGATGAGAGAAATCTACATGACTGTGCTCAACCACCAGCATCACATATTCGTTCCAATTCACTGTAACAAGGGGAGAAAAAGGATCATTTCACTTTGGAAAGGGAGAGAGACAGTAAAGTATCCAATGGACACTGTACTTATACCAGCAACAGCAACGCAATAACAAATATCCCAAAGGAAACAAATCAAATAAAAAATTATTTCAGATCAAAAAATTCACTACTGAACAGGTACATCTTCAGAAGATAAGTGTTCACTAGCAAGTCATGCATGATGTCATAACCATCATTCTGATCAGGATTCCATGAAGACAGACAGGACTTCACGTTCTCTCTTGGGTTGCTGTAGGAAGGCATGTCAGAGGTCAATGACTGATGGGATTGGTAGGCTTTGCTTTCTTTATCACAGGTCGCTAAGGCAAACCAACTGGAATGCATGGAAAGTAGGGGTGCACTGATCATGATGCTTTTTTTATTCTTTACAGCCAAATTAAAGCCCCACAACTAGGCTCGAAACAATTATTCGACAATAGCAAAAATGTCTGCAAATATTTCAGTTGTCGATTTTTCGTTTACATTTTCAGCATCTGAAGAGTGCAGTGCTTCACTTATAGTATTGTACCTATTTGAGCAGATAGCAAAAGAAAAAACAATGTCTGAAAGTTAAAAAGAAGTCTGGGAGCATACTCTTAAAATGAAGCACAAAGTACTATTATACAACTTATCTTTGCTGTCTGAACAAAACCTTGTAGCTTCATTTTTGTTTTGTACTTTTTCACATTTCAGAATGTGAAAATGCCAGGTGCCCTTTATAATAGGCTAAACTGTCATAATGAACGGACCAATAACAACGATAAAACTTTAGTATTATTAGCTTCTATTCAAAGAATGTTGTTTTCCTTCTCCTGTAAGGTTTCCACAGAAGCACGTTACCTTCAACCACCACAAAAGAAAACATGCTTGTGTTGACTCTGAAGAAGCCTGAAAATCTGTAACGTTAAAAATTTAATTCTAAATTAAAATCTAAATAATAATTTGGTCATTGATCACTTAGTTTCGTTTCCCTTACTCAAGGTGTGACAGAAAAAGCAAAACCAGTCCCATATCAGTACGAAAGGGCAACTTCTCAAAACAGCTTCAAGAAATGCTTCATATAAAAACGCTAATGAAGTTAACAATGAATAATGCAGCAGTGGCCAGTTAAAAATAGTTTGTCAAAAAATCTAATTTACATAATTTTCCCCTTATCCCACGTCCATTAGCCAAGACATGTTTGGTGTCCGGAATTCGCTTCTTTAGTTTTGTGCTAGCACTAAGAGACTTGTTACTCATTAGCTACATTAGCCTCAAAGCTCCAGTGCAAAACTATGGAAGCAAACTTCAGAAAGCAAATGCCTTAGCGGATCTATTACCTTTAGCATTACTTAAATGTGATAATCTTGTTGCCACTGTTTTTTTATTCACTGTTAGCCATATTACCATTTTGGTTGAAGTATTCTTTTAATACCACCCACAGAAAATCTTGGCACAAGTCAAAGGGGAAAGACTAACATAGAGTGCTCTGCTGAACCAACCATGCATTCTCCATAGCATCTCAGTGGCATGATGAGTCTGGGCATGGAGCAGTAGTCCAGGTTTCGCAAAGGTATAAGCAAGTACCAGGGTCAATGATCAGGTTTACACGTACAGTAAGAAGGTCCAATGCTGGGCGTTCAGACAGACTGAATGGAACTCAGTCCTGGCAACGGCATCACAAACGATGTCTTGCCTTCCACAGGCGCAATGCCCATGCAGGCATGCTGAGGACCAGAGCTAGCTATGCTAACCCTGCCTAACTAAACATTCTACAGCCTTCACATACATTTTGGATTTAGAGCCCCCAAAGTCAGCACTGTAATTTTCTTGGCCGTATTTATGTAGAGAACTGTTTAAAAACAGAAACACGAAAGGTGGGTTGCACCAACAAGAATTAAGCTTTAACCTGGATTAAATCAGGAATTATGTATTAATCCAGTTGGGGGGGGGGAGGTTTACACAATTGCCCTCAGACTTTACAAGTATTCTCTTGGTCAGCACGTACAAAAATTATGTTTTATACGGCCATTCTTTGAGATCTATTTCAGCGATGTGAGGCGAGGCATCACCCAAGGAAAAAAGCTTGTGGGTCGGTTTGTGTTTGGTTGGTCGAATTTTCAAGATTTCTGCATATTTCAGATGATGAGCTAAATAAAGTCATTCAGAGTGTTCTGATGTCAAAGGAATAACAGTAGAGACACTTGCTGACTCTCTTTTATACAGCCATTTTATTTGCTATGCAGAATGACTATCACACCTACACGTACGCATCTTCAGAGCCTTTGCATATGTTGGTCATGGTAAAACTGATAAAAAATCTTTATGGATTATTTTGCCTTACAGCGCCCTGCATGTACCTGTCCACCATAAATAGATTTTAAAATATATGAATATATGTTTTAAGTCATAAATATATCTCAAAGTATCGGAAAACAATGTCTTGGACATGAGGCAACATATTCATAAACATTTCATGTAATAACTTTCTGTGAGGCACCTTTCAGAGGAATTAAGCACTTTGTACATCTGGTTCACCACCAGTATGAACAATTGTGACTTCTGCACAAAGCTGTGACAGACAATTAAAATCAGATGAATCAAAGTCTCAGGTTTTAATCACAGATTTGTTAGTTGATGTTTAAAATTAAGTGTTGCAACTTAACTCTTAACTTAGCTCCAAACTTAGCTTAATTTATCCTTGTTGGTGCAAACCACCCTACATGTGTTAAAACCAATAACACTATGACACAAAATGTGTTAAAATAAAAAATATAAAAAGCATTTTTCCATAAAAAATCATTATTGAGGCACACTGAACTAGGCCCAGCTTCCCAAAAGCATCTTAGGGTTAAAACCATCTCAACTGGTAGAGAGAGTGTTCAATGTGATGCTCGCTTTACCATTCAAGAATCACCTTTCTAACTAGATGCTTTTGGGAAATGAAGCCCTGAACTCCAGTTAGTGCCAAAGGCCTGGCTGGTGAGACCTTAAAACGTTTCCCTACACTTTGGTGATGTCAGCTTAGATAGTGCTGTACTCGTATCAGTCACATCACTACAAGGCGCCTGCGTCAGAAGACAGTCACTGGAAGAATTACTGTCTTTGAGAGCTCCAAAACGTTTGGCGTTCTATCTGAGTTGAAGTGACAGCTGTGGCCAGAGCTTTAGGCTAAACCTCTACACAAATACATTGGAGTTGTTTTTTTGTCAGGTTCTTTCATTCGTTCTTTTTGTTGAATATCTGAACTTCTAGAAAGTGACAACGTCACACATAAAGCTAATATGTTGCATGAGGAGATATCCTTGGAGAACTCCTCTGATCTGACATAAAACAGCAAAGAATCACAGTATGGCATCTGTGATTTATCAGAAAATGATGTGACGGTTTGCTTAGATGCCACATGAATAATCTGTCTGGTGGCTGTATTTTAATTAATTAGCTGTCAAAATACTTTGCATTTATTACTCATTCGTGTCAATCAAAGCCGACAACCAACAAGGGAGGCAAAATCTTCATCATCTGAAGCCTGTGTGCTATTATTTATTAAGAATAATGATTAGAATTGTTCAGCATCCCCTTTATAGGACTTCTAGGTTCCTCTAAAGACAGCTGCCTCAGACAAGTAGAACAACAGACTCATGCTGGACCCTAAACAAGCTAGACAGGGTAGCCTCCAAGGCTCTGGTCAATACTGTGCTTTGCTACGCTGCTTTGCTTAGCCGTACTCACATTCCCACCTCCTGGGACATGCTTGATATTGTCTCTGGAGCCACACCTAGATTGCACATTAGAAAAGTCCAGCTTCTTATTAAGAATAGTCACCTAGAGAGGCAGAGGAAAGGCAAGAGAGCGTTAAGCCCATGTCTAGAGGCTTAGAGGAGGTATGGAGCTGGTGCTCCTCGAAGGGGTGCCGGGATTTGACGTGGACATCGGAATGCATACTGCACTTTGAAAGGAGGGAGCAAGGTTTACTCACACTGCCACCTCCTGGAGAGTGCTTGATGTTGGCTTTGGAGCCACACTTTGCCTGCACGCTGGAGAGATCCATCTTCTTGTCAAGGATTTGCACCTAGGAAGTAAGTGGAAAAGATTACGGTGTGCCGCACTCCCTGGAGACTTGGGCTGGGACTTTGTCTCGTGACCCAACTGGTAGAATTCTGTACCGATTGTGAATTGTGAGCGCACCAGAGGAGCGTTGTGCTCCGTGCCATTTCCTCTGCTGCTCGTTTCAGAGAGGTCGAAAGGCACCTAGAGGGTCGAAACCTAAAATCAACTTCCTTCATTAAATCTTGCTAAGCTTACCTTCCCACCCCCAGGCTGGTGCTTGATGTTCTCAGTGGAGCCAATCTTAGACCTGACGTTCTTCAGGTCAGGCATGGGGGCGACCGGTGCAATGGGGGTGCGGGACCTGAGGGAGCCGGGCGATTTGGGTGGAGTGCGCACCACTGCCACCTTCTTTACCTGCTGCCCAGGTGTGCTGGACCGGCTGGCCGGAGACTTGGGTGTGGCGGGGCTGCTGCAGCCGCTGCGGTCCGGAGTCTTTGGTGACTCAGCTGGAGAGAGTCAGAGAAAATACAACATGCTGAACATAAGAACTAACAAATCTGTTCTTCATGCTTTAAGACTTTTATGTCTGTCTATTACACCTTTTACACTTTATGTATTTATTCATTTGACATCTTAAACTCGGGTCATTTTCCCAGATAAGGACTAATCCTAGTCCTGGACTGCTCAGAATTCTGAACGGAGACTGGCAACCGAAAGGAAAAGTTAGTCTAGGACTAGGTTTAATCCCCTGTCTGGGAAACTGACCCAATGAGTATTATGCAGTTATTAATCTTAAGACTTATTATTCAGTACCTAATATGAGTTACTTGATAACTAATATAAATAATGACTTATGCAGTTGTAACAGTGACATGATGAGACTGAGGAACTGAATTGTGGACCCTCATCCAGGCCCTTAGCATTTAAGTTTGATGTTCTTGAACTAGGGTCCATGACATGATGTGCATTTTTTTGAGTCCATCGTCCTATGAAATAATTCAATAAATACATTATATACATTACGGTTTTCTACAATAACTCTTTCACATGAACACACTTCAGACATTTATGCCTCCTAAAGTCTGAAAATGTCAGGTGTGACCATGCAACCATATATAAAATTACATAAGCCTTTGGTTATATAAAATGTATACACTTTGGCAAGATTCATGTTTGAAACCTTTAAATTTATAATATGGTGCAAAATAGGGCAAATAATTGGAAAATGTTTTCATAAATTCTGATTTCCTGATGTCACACTGCACAACTGACAATGGACTTTTATTTTGGCGTGGTTTTAAGGTAGAGTGGACTTCCCCTTACAAATATAAAAAAACGGTTATTAAAACTGTTAATAAAATTGAAAATGTGTTATAATTAAAACAATGTTTTTACCCAAAAATACAAAGTATAACTTTGAAGTTAAGGACAAAGCTTTATACGGGTGTCCATGTGCAAAGAAGTGTAAAGTTATATACGTCTTCAGTAGCCGTATACAACTTAAATATATTAATAAAAAATAAAATTTAACATTTGTATCATTTTTGAATTTATTTGTTATCTGTTCATCTTCTGTCAACTGTCAACTTACAGTATTTCATTATTATGCAATATGCTATTTTATGAGGGACTGGTGTTAGTAAATACTGCCAAACTGTCTAAAGAGGAGTGATAAAACACTCTCCCACTTAGGTTAGACTCACACGAAAGAGGTTCTTTTACCTCTTTCAATCGGACCTGCTCCCGTTTTCCGTTGTTCCGCCCTTGAAGCAGCTGCATTACAAACCAGAGCGGCACAGATCAGACACTTTCCTAGCAGTCACCTGAATGGATCCTTCTGTGTATAACTGCTACTAGATTTCTTTTGCAGGCAGGTGCTGCTTCGGGGACCTCTAAAGGGTTGATGGTGCCTTCTACACAGAGTAGAACCATGTACCTCCTACAGTAAGGTACAGTGTTAAGTTCTCTACATGCAGTGAGGAGCATTCATTTCTAATAAAGGTGCAGCAAGTTTGACATGCTACATGCCAATCACTTCCAGTATATTATTTGTAATAAATGAAATGGTGCCATACATGTGCATGGAGCAGCTTGTGAAAGAAATCAGTGTAGATTAGACAAGCCACCTATCCTTTAGCTACATGTTCCAGCCATGCAGTACAATGCTTGCAGATAGTGGGGAGAGTGATAAAGCTACAGTAATGGTGAACTGTCCTAACTGTCTGACCTTATGGGGATCTGGAGAAAGGAAGATTGTCTTACCAGGGATTTTGGTGCCCACTCCCTGAGGTTTAGCACCTGGGGTCTTCGTTTTAGCATCAGCGGCCTACACAAGGAATAAAAATCGTGCTAAAAATACCAACATTGGGCAAGTCATAGAACTGTCATTATTCTGAACAAAAGAAAACAGTGTCTCCTTACAAATCTGTTTTTCCTTTACACCATTTTCATCAAAAGGGAGCTGAATTGAGGTAGGGTAACTTGCTAACTTTACCTTTAAGCTTGTTGTCACTTGTGTAACTAGGTCTATGTCGACAAGTTGTTTCTGCCAAGTGAATAACAATGTTATTCATTGTAATGATGATTTGAAGACTCTTAGCAAAATGCTATTTTCCATATTCCTCTCATATTTCCTGTGCTCCCAGGGCCGATTATTCACATTCCTCATTGGCATTTTTTGAGTCATCATTAGTTAAGTTTGCCAAGTTGATATGACTAGCAAAAACCATGTACGTGTTATTATATATAATAATGTGAACTGATTTTAAACAGTAATAAGAACTACACAACTATACAATACAACACAATATTAGCACTGCAAAAAATTACAATGCCAAAATGTTCTTTGAGCACATCTTCAAGAAAAACATTACCATTTATTTTAGAACTGGTTTTAATCATCAGCTTTCTAATGCCATCTTAAGTGCAGTTTAATTACTGTATTTGATTTTAGGAGCCAGACTATACCATACTGTGCTTTAAATTAGATTCAAAAACATGTTTTGTGGTTGAGGTATTATGACTTTTGGTGACCCCATGACATAGGAGCCCTTTTTATAGCTTCCCTTCATGTATGAAATTGAGGCATGATGTAATACATGAGCAACAGAGCCCTGGGAACATAGGGCTCAGGGGATAGACGACCTTGGAAATATGGGTATGCTCCTCTGTCTTCCTTCAGCATTAGCTACATGCGTTCTGTCCTAAAGTATCTGCCAAATGAAAAGACTTTTCCCAGTATTAAAACTGGTAACCTCTCACTATAGAAACTACAGCTTCACTGCTTTTAAAGGCGAGTAGGTATGTTTATAACAGATGTTTTGAGGGTTCAGTGGCCCTTCAAATGATATCTCTGCAGAAATTATGGACAACATCAGTTTACTGCTTACAAAAAAAGGTCAGATTTTATGGCCTCTTTGAAGAGAACTGGACAGACAGGTCAAAGGTTACAGGGTTGACCTGAGTACTCACTGTGGCTCTGGACTCCTTGGCTCCCACAGTGTGTTGTTTAGAGTTTACAGAACCAGCTCTGCCTGAAGCACACGCTGAGGTAATGGGGGAGGCAGAGGAGTGTTTGAAAGGGGACACTGGGATCGATGACCCACGTTTAGTGCTGGACATGAGCTTAGTTTTGACTGGTGTGGATTTGGAAGGTGTCTTTTGTGTTATTGAGAATGAGAGGGAACACAAAAGAAATGTGAGAGAAACAACTCAAACAAACAATGATTAGTGAACACAAGGTGAAAAAGTCACAATGTTGTACAACTTCTAAACAAATGTAACAAATTAAGATGTATTTAAACACAAAATAGAATAAAACTCAAGCAGAAACATGTTAGCATTGATAAAAAAACAAAAAACAGACAACTGAAGACTGAACAAAAACAAAGTGTAAATGTTATGGGTAAAGAATAAATCACCATGAAAAAAAATCCTCCCATTCTCTCTGGAAATGATTGTGGGATGACCACAGTCTTGGGTCAACCTACCCTAGTGGTGACATAATACTACACTGATGGTTATGCCAAGATAAACACTTGTCTACAGTTTACAAGGAAAGCAATACCTGCAATAACAATATTAAGCAAAAAGTAATTTTATAATTATTGGCACCCTTGGTAAAGATGGGTAAAAAGATGAAAATGTCTTTGGGGTTAATTAGCTCAATCTAACACTGAAAATATGAGAAACAATAAAATTTTATTTTTTCAGTGGCACCCCTGTATTCACTGCTTGTCCAACTTGCCTTTGCTACAGCTCTGGTTGTTTTAAACTTCGTAATTGTTGCCCAACAGTGGATACTGACAATTTTCAGTGTTTAATTAAACTAATTTAACCTCAAAGACTTTCTTCATGACCTTGATCTTTTTCAAGGGTGCCAATAATTATGGAACTGACTGAAACTGAAACAAATTTAATAAATTTTGTAGGTAAGAGATTTTTAGATTTTATATTGTGGCCCTGATATTGTGCTCATAAACAACATATTACAACATGTTGCTGGTCTGTCAAATCAAGATCAGTTAACACACTGAAACACAATTTATATCAAAAGCCTCCATCGTACCTTAGCATTTTTATCAGGTGCCGCTGCTCCTGCTCCAGCTGTTCATAGAAAGAACATACAGATGGGTAAGTACAAGGAAGCCCAGTTTTAATACTAACAATACTGTATTAGTTCACGTTTTCCATGGGGTGCAAAACTACTGGAGCTTTGCAAGGCCAAGCTAATTACTATGTGCACTGCTATGTGGGGATTAATGTAATGTCTGATGCATTTAAAACCCTGGCTTCAGTAAACATCTAAGCCATTAATCTGAACACATGACCTCATTTGTCCATCTTTGACCTTTAAACAAATGCAGTTAGGACCTTCGAGTTGCAGTGAATTTAGTCAGAGGCTTTCTAATTTGCAGCGGGGAAACTGTAATCAGATCTGTCAGCCACAGCCTAATATTAGTTTCATATTTACCACAAATGTCCCACAGTGTGCATATTTAACATTTACTGTCGCTGCTGCAAGGACCTGTAATGGGGTTTAGGTTACAAGGATTTTATAACAATATTGATTAAAGTTACTCCCTAAGGACATACGATCTACATCTAAACACAAACCTGATTAAAACCTGATTGGCCTGTTAACCACAGAGTAGTCAATTTTGATCTCAAAATCAAAATAACATTCATGTTTGTGTATATGTTGCCTACAAGCAAAGCTATCGAATGTAAAAAGAAATTCTGCATAATTAAATAGTTAAGATGTAAACAAAGTCATTCAGAGTGGTTTGGTGTGAAATGCTCTGTTCTAGAGAAACTTACAGAGTCAGAATTGTTCACAGTGGTGATGATAGGAACCAGACCTCTGAAACATTTAATACTTCACAGAGTAATTACCTGAAATGGTTCCTAATACACTGTCGGCTGGCTGCGACAACTATGTTTACAGGCACAAAATAGTCTGATTACTGCAGACAAAAAGATTTTAGTCAATACCTCGTTCTACACGATTACAAGCACTTCAGTAAACTAATAGTGAGGAAACTCTGAGTCTACATTAGTCACTCAAAAATCAGATTTCTTGTTAAATACTCGCACCTTTACTGTTGCTTAGCAACTTGCAAGTAAACTCACCAAAGAAGCGCAGCACGTGACTTACACTTCTTGCCACAGTTTTCTCTATAACATGAAGTCCCTTAACAGGTAAATATTTATTTGTGAGTCTATATGGCTACAAACTGTACATCGTATGTAATGTTTACTGTTTCCTGGGCAGCTCTTCTCTATCTGGTTCTGTTTCTGCACATGTAACAAATCAAAGGAAATTTGATAAATGGAACATGTGCTGAAAAACATAACAACTGAGCCGATTTCTTAATATCCAATAGCAACCTTAATCCAATCTAAGAAATCAGAGTATGCTGTTTACATGACCACTTGAATAATCATGATTATTTGATCATATTATTGGTGTGCATGTAAATGCAGAGTTCTACTGCAAGCTTTTTGCCAACGAGCACTGGCAATATTGTGGGGGTAGTGCACTGCAATCACACAGCTGAGCTCGGTTTCTGTTTCTGTGATGGCACCACGCAGTGTGCCATGAAAGGAACCTTTTTTGAGAGCATGAAAACCGGTGAGATTTACGTTCACTGCTGTGAGACTGCAGCAAAGGCAAAAAATGTATATAACATATTTATAAATAGCAGTTCTTATCTAAATGTTGAGACTTGACAGCTTTGCAAGTTATTTGGCAGGAAAGTCAGGCTTCTTGTGACATGCTCGATGAACCTAATCTTCTCATCAAGTCCTGTAAATATAGTAGCTTTTGAATTTCCAGTGGCACGAATCAAAGAAAAAAAATGTGCACATTTGTATTCAGGTGTAATGAATATGAAATGGTAGGTGAAAATGTTATCTTGTACAGGTGCTCCTGAATCAAAATTCTGTTTGCATTTTTAAAAATTAAGGAGCAAACACAAGCATTTTGCTCGTGTAGAACCTTGAAATGCACTCATTGTTTCAACATCACACATACAAACTCAGATGACACGTGTAGGTACACTAATCGATTTGGATAGTGAAAAAAATAGCTGAATTTTCATTTTAGACATTGTGACCCCAGGCTCCTATTAACACCACTGTAAAGAAGTCCAAGTTGGCAGGTTTCTCAACAATGAACCACCTCACATCAAACCACTCTGAATTATTTTGTTTACATCTCACTGATTGAATTCTGAAGGAATCAGTGGAATTCCCCGTTAAAAGGTTGCCTGCACCTTGTGTAGTAGACACTGGAAACAATATGCCTGAATCAAACCCAACAGCTGACCTACTTTCAGCAACTGCGTTAATCCAGGTGTGCTAGGATGTGTGTGCGTACCATAAAGAAAAACGTGCAGATACAGACGTCACCCACACAACACACCGAAGTTTGTGGGTGATGCTCCACAATCAACAAACATGCAGAGGTGACATGCAGAAAAGAGAGGCTGGTGAATACAGCGCCAGCAAAACAAATAATGCTCAGAGTTAGTCACAGACACAGAGGTGGAAAACACTGACCACAAACACAGAGAAAGGGAGAGGTGGGGGGACAGGGATAGGGACAGACAGATCACAAAGGGTCACGAAAGAGAGAGATTTGGTGGCTACAAGCAGTCCGTTTCTTCAACCGAACACATTTTGACTTGCGGTGTGCGCTTTTCAGAAAGGGTGCTGCTTAGCTTAGCTGTTCTACAGTAAAAAAGAAGCAGGAGAAGATCTGTGGAAGAAAGAGAGAAGGTGGTTTACAGGAGTGGGGTTGAGGGAAGGAACGAAAAACAGACCTTTTGATGGGGCGCTTGTTTTTCGGACTGGAGCAGCATCTTTTGAGGGGGCTTTCTGGGGTTTTGTAGCGGACTTGGGGGAAGGGGTTGCGGCGACTGTGGCAACAGGCTTCTTTGCTTTTTTAACGGGAGCTTCTTTGACAGGCTCTGTTTTAGTTGGAGCTGCTTCCAATGGTTCCGGGGCACTGGGCTTACTAACAGTGACAGCCGCTGGTTCTGGTTTTGCAATAGTCTGGACATCCTGTGCTGCTTCCACAGTAGCAATGAGATCTTCGTCGGTTGTATCCAAGTACTTCTCTGGTCTCTCTTTGTCGGCATCCTTTGGCTTGGCTTCTGGCTCCATCTTAGGCACCGTTACCACTGGGTGAGCTGTGGGAATGCTGACCTCTTCCTCTTCTTGTTCATCTTCCAGCTGGTCTCTGTGGGCTTCTTTCCGTTGGTCGGTGAGGGGAGACTCCCGAGGAGCAATGCTTGGGGAGAAAGGGGATCCCATGTCAGCCCTGCAGGAGTCAGGACTCTTGCTCTCTGGAGGGGTTTTGTCAGAGCCATTCTCCCAACCCTCAGGGGCACCTTGATGGCCAAGCTGCTGGGGTTCGGTGTAGTCAAAAGACAGTCCCCGCTTCTTCGCTTCCTCTGGAGTCAGTGGGGGTTGATATGGAGCTTCGCCATGTTTGCTCTCAAAGCTTTCGTCTTTCTGCGGCGACAAGTCTGAGACAAATGCACTTTGAGCCAGAGGAACTGCTTCTTCTCCTTCTTTGTCCTCTTCTTCTTCTTGTTCTTGCTCTTCGTCTTGTTCTTCTTCTTCTTGTTCTTCCTCTTCCTCCTCTTCTTTTTCTTGCTCCTCCTCTTCCTGATCTTCTATATCATAACCACTACGGGGCACGCCAGGACTCACTGCTAAGTCTTCCTCGTAGGCAGATCTAAAGGCTCTGCCCTCATCTTTACTATGCTTGTTGGCTTCCTCCCTCTCATCTTCAGAATCACTGGAACCGTACTTTTGGTCCATCTTTCCTGAAGGGCTCCTTTTCACCTGGCTGTCCAAGCTTGGAACCACCGACCCAAACCCATCAGCCTGGGCAACAGGTGATGGGGACATGGGGGACTGGCGTGGGCTAACAGACTTGGCCCTGTCACCATTCACAAGCTCCTCCTCCCCGTCTATGAATGCCGCACTGCTTCTGCCACTGTGTGGCGCAGAGATCTCTCCTGGCGTTAGCTTGTCTGATAAGCGGGAGGCACAATGATAGGAACAGCCACAGACAATACTGCGGGATTAGCAACACTCAACCGCCTTCTCTCCACAGTCAACATCACAAACAACAAAGGAAACAAAGGAACAACCAAGGTACCAAGGAACTGAAATCATACCAACTAGATAAGGGCCCCAAACACAAAATAAAAGACAAAGGAAAACGGTATTTTTTGGTCAGCAAAAACCATAAAGAAACAGTTCAACATTAATTTCAGTAATCTTTAAAACATCACAAAACAATGAGCTGCAGGCACTTTTATAATACGCAGTGTTCGCTAATCTAGAATTTGCATTATTTAAAGCTTCAGTTGGAAATTGCTGAAACAGCACCATGGCTGTGAGCTGCCCTGGGGCTTAACTCTTAGCAATAACAGTTGCTGAAGGCAGAGAGTCAGCAAACAGTTGAGTCAAAAAATTGCTAAAGTCTTGTCTGAACTACCAGGTGACTATGTATGGAAACTAGCAGTGCATTAAAGCCAGCAGTTAGCACGTCAGGTTTGAGATTTGCTGTTCAGAAGTCTCTGTTTTAGCACCAACATCAGGCCTGGTAGCTGCATCAATTCCCAACTGAACCTTTATATGCAATTAGCAAAGGCTAGGCTAGAATAAGGTTTACTACAATGGCAGAATGAAGGGGTCACTACAAAAGAAGAAATGGTCATAATGGCTCATAAAAGTGCCTCACAACTCATTTTGTCACAAAATACAACCTTCAAACCAAATAAAAAATCTGAAACACAACCAAAAAACAAAAGCAAAGCCAACACAAACAATATGCCCAATCAAGACACAATAACCACAATGATCCAACAGCATTTCTGTCACTTGCATCAATGTGAAAACTTTGCAGGAACATGACCTGACATGGTGATGAATCAGTGCTGCACCGGTTGCCACATTGTCCATTTGCAAATAGGTTTTACTGCAGAAGAGGCACGTTTTTTATGTCTGGCAACTTGGCGCAGATCATTTTTCACATTGCTTTGCTTCTGTCCAAAAGCATTTTTCTGTGTATTTTATGAAGTTTTGTTACAGTGCTTTTAATACTCAAGAGTCACTTAAGTTGTGTCCTTGCATTATTCTCAATAAGTTACAGCAATCTACTTGCACTCGGCATGTTACGGTAATCCACTTACTATATGCTTTCAACAGAAGCAACAGACATAATTCAATATAAAGATCATATTGATTTCCTATGATTGATGCTCTCTGTCTATTAATACTGACTGAAGGCATTAGATTCTAAAGGCTAATGGTAAACTCCAAACTGTATGCAGTAGCAGTTGGGATGGAATAGATGAGAATGAATGTCAGGGATAGTGAGGAAGACTGAATTATGTCTTGTAAGTGTTAGCTAAGCAAAGCTAACCACTGGAGGTGGATAAAGGGGTTGTAAGCCAACCATACCTTCACCTGCTCCTGCCGTCCCAGGAAATCACAGGCCACAGGAAGGTCACATAGAAAAACAGAAAGAAAAGAGAGAATATTATGAAGTGGTGTGTATCATTGGAGTTAAATTCCCAGCAATGCAAGATGTAAGAACTGACCATCAAGAGAGAAAACACCTCGGATATCCTGTTGCCCTTGTTAATATACGGTTCAGTTCAGTAATATACGGTCTTCACTGAGTTCACTCTGAGTCTAGTCTCAAACTCAGATGCTCCACCCAAAGAGGTACGGAGGGTCTGATATGAATTCTATGCTAAGATGGCCACAACTGTCTGAGTTTTGTCCCTTGCATTGTGATTGGCTAACTACACATCTGTTTATATAGACCTCTGTGCATTAATTTTAATCTGTCCGATGAGAAATTCAGTTTCGCAAACAATCTGAACACCACGAAATGTCTTTTGCAGCTAGATCCTCTCACATGTTTGCTGGCGCATAGACTTTGTTTCTTGGGAGTGTGTTTTTGTTGTAGCCCCATTTTGTAAATCGCCTGTCCCTATACATCACTTAAAAAGAACGGTCCTTGGGTGGTTATTATGGATGTCAGTCAAATGGCCTGTCCTGTCTAAGTAGGCACTTCTTTGTCACGTTAAGGGAAACGCCAGAGAAAAAACGGATTCAGTTTGAAGTTCATGTACAGCTGTGGCTCACCTTTTTAAGAGACCGTCCTGGTGTCAACCACAAAAAATTTGCATCATGCAGAGGAATATGTTTCAAAACATAGTTATTATTAAAAAATCTGTAGGTTTTCACGTTGGATGAGTAAATTAATGGTGGCTGCCTCAGATGAGCTAATGAGTTAAAACTGCAGCTAACTCGTACAACACTGGACACTGATAGAGACTCTTCATCTTTTACAGTTGTTTTTTTCCTCTTCTGTAGACAATGTTAGTTAGAGCATGTTAGTTTGTCAGAGATATATTTTAACCTAACACCAGCCTAGCCCATTTAGCGATAAAAGCCACACTATCTCTGCCTTCTCAGTCACGCCCTTAAGAACGAGTCCACGGTAACACAATCACGTTAAGGTACTCACTTTCGGAGTAGCAAGGTATTTCTGTCATCTTCCCGTAATGAATTGCAAAGAATATTTAATTAGACATTGCAATACTTGGCCTTGAACGGTTAACTGAGTAGTCGATGACCCGTGCACATCCCTAGATTGAAACTGAAATGACTATAATTTCTCTACAGTAAAGAAAAATCCCTCCTGTAAAGGTCTGGTTTGACCTTTGTAGAATGTATAAAGCAAATTTGGAGCAATCATCAATACTGAAATGTGTTGGATTGTCCAGTGGGGCATGTCATACATTATTAAGACAGTAGGATTGTTGGTGGGCCTTTATGTTGGGTATCCATCGGCCTGGGGACTGTAAGAAACATCCACTAGCTCTTTTAATTTGAAGGATTTCCATTCAATGTATACTCAGGAGTTAGAGCCATTAAGGTCCAGAGCTTTTGCTAGCATCAGCAACATGGTACCCACTATGAAATATTTAAATGCTGGCTAATAGCACTCCAATCTTCCTCTCCTGACTGCAAACAGGATAGAGCCATAGGATGTGAGGGGTCTAATGGGTCTGAAGAACATTAGCGTTTACAGACTTGATTATTCCCTCTTACTAGCTTTAACAAACTGAGGAGATTGTGGTAGAGGGGAACATTATGAGCTTCCTTGAAATAATCTAACCCAGGCCCTGAACAGGGCTTTAACTTTTGAAAACACAAGACAGTCTACCTTTAATACAAGGAGTTATGACAGTCGTAGCTAGTTTTGTGAGATAGTAGCGTGTGTGTCACTTCATGCAAACGTACATACATAAGCTTTAATCTTATTCAGTTATAACTTGTCACATACAGGCTGCTCATAACCTTCCGAAAACCCTTAGTGATTCATGTTCTCATTTCATGTTAAGGCCACTTGGGTCCAGGACAGGGCACAGGTAAGTACATCACTCTGAATCAGCCTTCAGCTTTAGTAATTTCACTTAGCTGGACTGGCCATGAAAACACTAAAAGGATATTCTGGACACTAATAATGCACTAAACCTGCATTATATTCCAAGAGACAGAAAGAAAGATGGGATTGCTTTGCCTAATTGCTTGTCAAGGATCTGTTACTGACCTTGAAGCCTGAAGAGCTGAGTGAAGAGTTAATGTACTGGTTGAGTGAACCCTTCCTACACCAGCAAATGGATTGCGCCTCATCAGAAGACGCACATTCCCTTTCTTCAGAAACTTCAGAAGACTTAATAAATTAAATCTTAAGAGAACTTCACAGCAGCATGGATGATCAACAGGAATAAGGTTCCCAAAACGTCTTGAAAGGGAATTCCACAGATTTTTCAACAGTTCTGCATAATTAAATGGTTAGGGTGGAAACAAAGTCAAGAGTGGTTTGATGTGAAATGCTCTGTTCTAGAAAAACTTACAGTGTCAGAATTGTTCAGAGTGGTGTTTTAATGCCTCTAACAGCTGGTTGTAGACACTGCAACCTTTGAATTGGTAAGTTTCTCTTTAATTAATCATTTCACATCAAACCACTCTCAATCACTGTTTACATCTTAGTGATTACATTATGCTAAAATTTTGAAAAATCTGTGGAATTCCTCTTACACATAGCATGACGTGTTCATGCATTCTATTAAGACATCAATAAATGAATTTTAACGTGATGTAAATGAAAAGACTTTATTTGCAAAAATGAGAGATCAGCTGTGTCCTAACAATTAGAAATTAGGATTAATCTTGCTTTCTAATTCTTATTCTAATTGTGTTATGTGGACAGTGTTGATGTGAAAAAATCTAATTAGTTACAATATTTCACATTTTTCTGTTGTTTATTTGTTTCACATTTGGTCTGTATTGGCCTTGTAACAGAACACAGCAAACTGAAGACTGATCACACATTCAAATTCATGTTAAACCACTAGCATTTTATACAAAGCTTACCACTGCATAGACACAGGAATGCTGTCATTATGTGTTTTACACAACATTTCATAGAAGTTTATTATTAAAGGGGAAATCCACTGATTTTGCATAATTACATAATTGCATCACATAATTAAATGGCTGAGATGTAGACAAAGTAATTCAGAGTAGTCTTATGTGAAATGCTCAGTTTTAGAGAACCTTACAGAATCAGAATTGTTCACGGTGGTGATAGAAACCAGACATCTGATGAAATTAATGTCTCTAAAAGCTCCCTCAAAGGATGTTATTACATGAAATGGTTATGAATACACTGCCCAGTGCCTGAGTCATGGTGAAAAGGTACATGCAGGTCATAGTAAGGCAAAATAGACCCTAAACAAAATGTATTATTTTGGATTTACCACTATTTCCAATCACCAAAATTACATATAAGACTTACACAATAAGACATATAAGACATCGTCTTGGATGGTAAATACAATGAGAATACTTGCACTGTAATTGGTACAGAGTGGTAAGCCATTCTGAATAACTTTTTTTACAATTTAATTATTCAGGAATTTTAAAACATCAGTGGAATTCCCTCTTCAGGTTCATTAAAGCATCAGCAATGAGAAAAGATATTTTGTAAGAAAGCAAACCATGATGGAAGAGAAGTGAGGCCCACTCATAGTGAACACATAAAAAATGGCAAAAAAACAAACTGCAATGAAAAAATGTTGCTTTGAGTTTACTTCCTAAAAAAGTGTACATTGGTTTCATGTGAATGTAATATATTGCATGAACACAATGACTGTCATTCGTTTTCACAAGAACTGTGTTGATGTAATGTATTTCATTCACGTGGAACTGATGTACACATTTGAATTACGTAAACTCAAAGCAACACTGTTTCACTATGGTGAAAAATCGTTACAGCAGGCCTAGTTTTTACCAACTTTTAGCTGTGGTCATGAAGCAGGGATGGACAAAGGACACTCATCACTCTGACCAAGGACTTTCATTTGATCTCTTTCAGAAAATTCTACTTGTCTTTTTCTATTGATTCTTCTAAACCAAAAACACTGAAAATGATAATTAAGATAGACTTTTGGTCTGCTGGTAAAAGAGCCATCTTAAATATAGTTCGTTTGTCCATCCTCAAGGAGGAAAAACCTGGGCTGAACCCAAAAGGAAAGCTGAAGCTGGAGGGTTAAAGGGCGCCAGTGACAAAGCCAAGGAAAAGAGGCCGCAGAGGAGGTAGGTTGTTAAAGCTTGCTAAAGCAGTGACGCAATTCACACTGGAAGGGCATACCAGACACAACATCCTCCTGAGGCGAGACAGTCTTAGGCTCCGTACCCTCTGTCATAGGCTCTTGAGAAGTCACCTCTGGTTTTGACCCCTCTGTCTCCTCTTTGAAAGAAAGGCCATCTTGTAATTAGCACAAGACACTGTAACTGAAGGAGTTCAGCAGTGAACCTTCATAATTTTCATCAGCAAATTAAGATTTAAATGAACAAAAATAATTTTTTTAACAGCCTCACTCCTCAATTTGATACAAAGTTTAGAAGAAACCATGTTTTAAATGGTTAGTAACTGCCTTATTAACCTGCCGAATTATCTTGTCTGCCTGTCAGCATGTTTATACCAAAACACATGACACAAAACAAGATCTCCCCAACCTTTATGAACAACTCATTAACCCTCATATGTCTGTAGTTCTTACTCTCAAATACTATTTATGTGATTATGTAATTATGTAATTAATTAGGTAGCTACACAATGAATAACATTTTGTTCGATTGCATGACAAAATTACAAAATTTCTTATCTTGCCTCAATAATAAGTTAAAAGTAATAACAGTGATCTCTAAAAGATAAAAGGGTTAAAGTGCTCTCAGCCGCTGGTTGTGTTAAAATTTTAAATGCTAGGCCTGAAGAGGTATTACTGTTTTTAACTTTGCCTGTCAGTAAACTTGTACAAAGCTAAGTACAGTCATATGTAAAAGTTTGAATACTTTGAATACCCTTGGCCTTTAAGTTTGGTTGATTTTCTAAGAGAAAATACATCCTCTACAGGGAACAAACTTAAATTACTTAACGAGTTTTAAATACTGGGGCAAAATACAGTAATTTTGCATTAAATTTGCAGAAGTGTGTAAAGCATATGTACTTATTTTCACAAATCAATAAAACTTGCAATTTGACCAGAGGTGCCCAAACATTTGTAAATCTTTGTATGTCCTCCTGGAATTCTGTGAAAAGAAGCAGATGTCTGACATTTTCCACAACGTTGTTTGTACTGATCGCTGGGGTTTAACTGCTTCATGAGTGGTATTTCCATATCTGTTTTTGGGTTGTGAGCCCAAGCAAAAGTAAACAGAACTTGACCTTTTTCACTGACTCAAGGCCAGTCCCTTTTATCCAAATCCTCTACTAATAATGAGTCAAAGAAAAACCACAAAACTGATCTCAAATCAGCAGAAAAATCGACTAATACACCTCACTAACCCAGATGTTTTGGGTTGCTGTAAACACACTGGCATAAGGGTAGCAACACTGCTGTTTATATTAGCACTGATAAGCTGCTGGGTTTGTTATTGCTTATCTGTTGCTGTTGACATCTCCAAGAACAGGTTCAGTTCTAACGAATACTCTGTTTTCTGGGCAGTCTGTCTTCTAGTTCTCTGTTGCTTTTTTATCTTTTTAATCAGGGAAGTTGGGCCCTGAAGACACAAACATTGAGTCAAATTCCTCTTTGAGCCACAGTCACGCTACATATTTGCAGTTTGTGCTGCTTTGTGATTGAGACTGGACCGCAGGATTAGCAACAACAAACAGTGGGGTGATATGTGTGCAGCTACGGTTAGCCAGGGAGCTAACACAGAAGTCAGTAAGCTAGCTAACTTGCCTATCATAAACAATAAAAACACAAAAGCAAACATAATTATAGCAGATAACTATATAGTCCCTACAGCATGGTGTGGCACACTGAACTGTAGCAAAAAGTTGTTTGTAACTGGTGTGGTTGGTGGCCGCAGGGTGACGTGTGTAGTTGTAGTTAGCCAAAGAGCTAAAGGGCACGAATGATTCCAGTGCTTTTCCCAAGCAAGTCTTTTAGAATTCTTGACAAGTGGTTTAGCTTCTTTATACAGGCTAAGAAGAGGCCTCAACGAAAATGCAGTGTTGCATCTTCCACACGTAAGAGGTTCTGACTTCCTGTATATTAAAAAAATATCAGCTTTGTGCTCACTTACACTTTATATGTGATGGGATACATGAAGACCACTCTTCTTTATGGTTTCACAAACAAAATATCCCTTACAAACACTGTGAAAGCATGGAAAATGATTATACGTCTGGAAGGTAGATCTAAGCTGACTTCTATTTATACTTCAATATGTGATAACCTTCCTACTGTTACAGATTCTCATTTCCATCTTTGGGCATCGAGAGGTCTTTCTTACTTGAGATTCAAGATTTTTGGAATTGAAGGGTAAGGGTGTTCATTGTTTGGGTTACCAAATAATTACATTGCTGACATGTTTAAGAAAAAACTGTGCAATGTTTTAACATTTTGTGGAAGAAAATATATTTTATTACAATGCATAACAGATAAAATACCCTCCTTAGCAAGTTGGCACATAGTTGTTTTTGAACATGTACATCTAGACCACTTGACACATTTATTACCTTCAAATATCTTTCATGATATTTGGGAACCTTTTCTGGTATACACTGGGTCAGATCTCTCAATGATTCTAATGAGAGCATTTGTATAATTCATTGTACTATTTTTGAAATGTGAGTAAAGCTTTAGTCAGCATAAACATCTGTGTATATAAGCTGGGTTATGTATTTATTTAATTCCCCCCCTTCTCCTTTTCTGTTATGCATGTGTGTGATGAATGCTTGTTATATTGAAAGAAACTTAATGAACATAATAATAACAAAACAGAGCTAACATGGCAGTTAAGCTGGCTAACTTGTCTATCACAAACAGTAAAATCACAAACATAAAGAAAATACTACAGGTTGTGTCTTAAAAAGCTCCCTAGTTCAGCAGTTACTGTACTGCCAAGGGAATCAGCCATTTTATAGGGAGTCCCACTGTTAGAAATGTTCCAGTGTACTGTACCTTTAGCTCCTTGAAAGTTCCAACAATGCACCACAAAAACCAGTAAACATCAACTGTTTACTATGCTCCCTAACCGGAAATTAGCAATACATCTCCAGCTCAACATTCAGAAAGTTTGTCATTGTCAGTTTTCTACTAACTGAGATGTTCATAGCCACCTGTTGGCTACTTAACTCACCAGTTGCATTTGTCAGTTTTAAATTTATTTCAATGCTATAATCTAAACACACTACATTTCATAAATATTGCACTTTAGTTATTCAATGAACACAAGGGTTACATTAAAGAAGGCTGACCTGCTAACAGGCTAATAGCTAACAGTTAACAGGCTAATTAGGCCCCTTCGGAAATTCAGTTAAAGGCTTCAAGTTTAAATCTTCACTGAAAGGTGAAAGATTAACTGTATGTCTTATTTAGTTATCATGTTACTGTGTTTCAGCTACAGCTGCCACTTATCACTTAGGTGAGCCATGGTTAGCTTCACACTAGAAACGCTAAAGCTGGCAGTGCTTGAATGAAGAAAGGCTTAACTGCATTAAATATTGCTATGAAGTGCCACAGCAGCAGTGCTACTGGCTGAAGATGCAAATGCAAATGAAGATGCAAACACCACGGGAGTTTAGAATGCAAAATTGCCTATTGTCACGAATTCCATTAAAATGAAAGTCTTTTTGCTTGGGAAATTTTGCTGGTAAATGCTGGTGTGACCGGACCTTTAATTTCTCTGGAAAAACCCTTCAACAGAATTACGATACATGTTAATTATAAAAACAAGCAGTGGAAAAAGAAATGATGTTGTCTTGTCACTTTCCACTAGAGCTACACAGTTGATACCAACATGAAGCAGAATGTTCAGAGAACCTTCACCAAACACTTCACATATGACAACTAAAGCTAACAAAGCCATTGTGGCTAAGAGTATAAGCTCACAGTGGCAATTAGCTTAAGACATAAGCACTGTTTCAGTCAAACTTTCACAATGTAAACTATTTAAATTTCTTTCTGCTCTCTAGCTGCCTCTGACCAAAGCTGTGGAAGCTGCAGGAATATTCTACACCCTTACTGACCTTTGCCCTTGCTGTCCCCTGGCCCTACATGCACTGCCATCCCGTTCTTCATACCTTCCTGCGGGCCGTCATTGACGGTCATGCTGGCCAAGGCAGACGCCACGTTCTCCCCAGAGGAGTTCATCAGGTCCTGGTGGTCCATTTCAAGATATTTTCAGTCTAGGGGGACACAGAAAAGACAAAACGGTAATGATGGCGTTACAGTGTTATCTTGGGCACAACAGCTGTCACAGGAAATCAGTCTCAAGTTGTCGTCCTCGCAGGCCACAGCACTGCACACTGTATACTAGTATTCAAAAATCTGGAACCACTTGTCATAATCAGTGCTGTTATTTCAATAAAAGTTTGGTGCTTCTGGTCAAATTACATGTTTTGTTGATTTTCTAAGTGAGAATAAAATAACAAATCCTCTACAGAGAACATATCACACATATTCATGCACAATTACTGTTTACTTGCTGAATTTAACATATTGGAACTAAAACATAAAACATAAAATGTGGCCTATGCAAAAGTTATGGCACATTTCATTTTGTGTTTTTTTTCTTTTTCCAATATGTTAAACTCAGCAAATATACACAGAAATTATGCACATAAAACTTAGATAGCAGAAAGATTTTTTTTCGATGTTCAAGATATTAAATGGTTTAACATTACAGAAAACAAAACTTCTGAAAGGTGATATAAGTATTCTGAATTGTAATGCACTTTACAAAATATTCTTAATAATACATAATATTCTTAATTAAGCATGTAGGACTAGAGACTATAACTACAACTACAATAATGAGAGATTTCCACATACTAAACTAAACTGTGTGGTGCTGTATCCCTCCAAGACTTGGGTTTTACACCCATGCTCAATATTGAAGGAGTGGAAAGTGCAGAGTCATTATATTCCTGCTGGCGCTTAAATGAAGCTGCAAGAAAAAAATAGGACACACAGGAATACAGAATGAGGACAGAACTGGACCATTTTGCAGCCAAAATCCTGTCTTCAGCATCCATTTCTGACATAACGTACTCTGGAAAATAACAACCACATAAAAGACACAGACATACCACACACAGACTGACACGAGAAAGAACTGAAATGCATGAAAAGCAGTTATTTCTCCTGCTCCTTTTGATCAACACTTCTTTAATAATGTGATATCTCAATGCTGTGCATCCAACAATAAAGGCAGCATAGTATCCTTTCATACAGTGCTGTGCAAAGGTCAGAGACCACCCTTTCATTTATTTAAATTCCACTTAAAATTGACCACTATGTTGTTCATTTTTCAGCATCAGAATTCAACCACTAAATACAAGGTCAGTATGAACTTCTTTCCCAGTTCCTTTTACAGTTGAGCTTTATTACAGCTTCCATTCTTTTCAGGCGACTTGCTTTAAGTTTTTTGCAGCAATTTTTATCTTTATATAATATTTTATCTTTAATCTTTTATCTGCAGCAATGCTTTTCCTCATCAGTCCATAAAACCTCACTCCACAACCTAGATGTTCAGTTTCTATGTTCTAGTGCAAATTTTCTACTTTTTTGTCTGTTTCCTTTTCTCAGTAATGGCTTCCTAAGAGCTACACATCCTTTCAGACTCATAGCATTGTCTGCTGAAAAACAGACAGACCCACCTGTAGATTTTTTCAGATCTGTAGCAAGAGTGGAGCTTGATTTTCTCAAAGATGAAAGCTTTAAGTGCTGTTTATCTAATGGTGACAGTGTCTTGCACAGTTGTTATTCCCATTTTCTCTGTATCTTTTAATCATTTTTGAACTCCTAAATTTTGCAATGTATTGCTGATGATACATTAGGTATGAGGGTTAAAGAAATGTTTGGTGTAAAGCAGAGATATGGCATGTAGTGGTAACAAACTCTCTTCCTCAAACAAGATTTCCGGACAACTTCCTGTATGAAACAACGGTTCATGTGTGTCAGTGATGGAGAGAGTTTTGTAGAGATGGTTCTAAAATAAGTACTTTTCTGTGCATTATAGAATAAGCACTCAAATAGACAGCTTCTTTAGACAGAAAATCACAGAGGTTTTATAGGAAGTACATTTAAGATCGTTTACATGGTGATTTCCTGCATTCCGGTTTAAGGGAAGCTGCTGTTCGTTTTAAAATACAAACCGCAACCAGCACATCCTGTTCTGTTAATAAAGTGTATGGTTTTGTAGGCAATGCTGACATACTGCAGGTACTTTGCTCTGCTTATATGTACATGTCAGTTTGTTTATGTGTAAATCTGTGTGTGCATGGGTATGGGTGTGTTTGTAGGCTTGTTTATATGAGTGAGTTGTTGTGTGTATGTGCATATATGTGTGTGTGTGTGCGTATTTCCTCTTCTCTGTACAGAGTGCTATGATTGGTTCTTTAGTGGTTGTACTGACAGGCTGCTGTCAGCCTGAATTCCGCTAGCACCACTTCTGATCTGCAGTTACAGAAAGATTTTATTAACTAAGATGCACAAATACACACACACAACGAGAAAAAAGTATAATATTATATAAAAGTATGAAGAATAACTACAGCATTGGTGTCTCTTTTTGTATCTATTTAGTGGTCAAAATACACTATATAGCCAAAATTACGTAGACAACTTTCCTAATTGTTTGGATCAGGTGCTTGAGCCACAGCTATTGCTAGCAGGTGTATAAAATTAAGCACACAGCCTTGCAATCTCCATAGACAAACATTGGCAACGAAATTGGTAATGCTGAGGAGCTCAGTGACTTTAAATGACACTGTCATAGGATGCCACATTTTCCAAAAGTTGATAAAATTTCTGCCCTGGTCACCTGTAAGTGCTATTATTGTGAAATGGAAGCATCTAGGAACAACAGTTCAGCTGAAGAGAGTAGAGTATACAAATTCTCTATTCTCTGTTGCATGACTTAGTACAGAGCTCCAAAAAGCTTCTGTAAGCAACATCAGCACAAGAACTGTGGGTCAGGACCTTAATGAAATGAATTCCCATAGCTGAGCAGTTGCACACAAGCATAGGATTACTACGTGCAATGCCAAGCATCGGCAGTGTAAAGCATGCATCCACTAGACTCTAAAGCAGTAGAGAATTGGTCTCTGGAGAGTTCAATTACACTTCACTGTCTGGCCGTCTGATGGGCGAAGTCTGGTGAATGGCAGGAGGACACTACTTACCGGGATACATAGTGCCAACAGTAAAGTTTGGCCAATGGTCTGGGGCTGATTTTTAGGTTTTTGGCTAGGAACCTTAGTTCCAGTGAAGTTTAATGTTACTACTACAGCATACAAAGACATTTTCAACAATTATATGCTTCCAACTTTGTGGCAACAGTTTAGGGAAGGCCCTTTCCTGTTTCAGCATGACTGTCACCCTGTGCCCAAAGCAAGGTCCATAAACACGTGCTTTGATGAGTTTGGTGCAGAGAAAATCAGGTGGCCCTCAGCCTCACTGAACATCTTTGGGACGCACTGGATCCCAGCATCAGTGCCTGATCTCACAAATGCTAAAAATGCCCAAAACGGAACAAAGCAAAAGTTTAAACACCCTCACTCAAGTGACGTTTTGTTGATTTTCTAAGTAAAAAATAAAACTTAAAATATAAAATGTGCCTTAACTTTTGCACAGGCAACATTTTATTTTATTTTTTCAACATCTTAAATTCAGCAAATAGTTTGTAATTGTGCATTTAAATGTGCTAAGTAAAAAACTAGCTGAACAACTCGTAAAGTAGCAGGATATAGCTAACTAAACATTAGCTGAATATATACTTAAAAACTTAAAAATGAACCGGACATACAAAACTCAACATAGCTGGTTATATCTAATAAAAAAATAGATGGATATCACTAACTCAAAGGTAGCTGGATATCAAGGAAATCAAAGGTCACACTGTAGGGAGATGAGTAAACTGAGCCAAACCAAAAACTGTAAACTTAGCTGTAACTGCAAACACTCACCAGAAGGTAAGTGTCCATTTAATGGTAATTTTACGTTTAGAATTGCTTGGTAAATGTCCAGAGAGAAATACTCAGGGGTGAAAAATATCATTCAGTGTTCAATTTTCAATTTCAACAGCACTCTAGTCAAGTACAGTTTTTCCAAAAATAATGCTTAAGCATAACAGTGAAGAACAACTACTCAAGTATGTTCAATAAAACAATCTTCTAGCATTTTCTTTTCAGGCTGCATTTGTAATGTTGTTCTTAAAAATACCAAAAATATCCTCAGTCCACTTGTAATCAGTAGTAGCAGGTGCTGCATTGTTAGGAACTGAACAGATTCAAACACTCACATCATGGGGTGGGATTGCTGTTGCTATGCAACTGTAGACCTGCCTGTCTGTGGAAGTCTGTGACCCCTATAAGTCAGTTTTTCTTTCACTACGCTTCTGTCTGTCCCTCCGACAGTGCATGTGTGTGTTGTGTCTGTCTGTCAGTGTGTATAATGTCTTCTGGCCATTCCTCTGTCCTCAAAGTCACTGTGTGTGTGAGTGTGTGAGTGAGTAAGTGAGTGGGTTCATGCACAGACATTTTGTGTGGCAAGTGCTCAAGAGAACAAAGGGCAACATGTGAACTGAACTTAACTGAATTTACAGCATATTGTATCCACTCTAATCAAGAAAGACGGTCCAATCATGTTTCAGAGGAAACCAAATTTGGTGCTGAGAGTTTTTCCCAAGACATTCAAAAACACTGACATTGCTGCCTGAGCAGGGAACTAAAACCTCCAGTGTACAGAGCTGTAACGTTACCCTCTATACTGTGTAATTACTATGACCCAGTGAGTTATAACCCTATTTAGGAGCTCCACAGAGCTCTAACATAACCCCTGGCAGCAATAGAGGATCCTTGCCATTAATTAATTTCTGAGGCGCATACATGCTACTGAGTGATGCATACATACATGGCAGTAGAGGGACCTGAACTGAAGCGGGCAACACATTGGCAGAGTAGGATGACAAGCAGTAGTAAAAATGCTCATTGCAAAATCTGTTATGCCAGTATTTTCAAGGAGAGGTAATAACAGTAGTGGGTGATCTACCAGCTGGAATTCTTCCTAAGGTATTCCTTTTACTGGTATGCCACAAATAAGCCAGATGGCACAATGTACACACAGTGCAAACACGCTCACACTAGCACTTTACCTGGAAGAGCCATGCTTTTTTTCAGAAATC